CCAGAATCCACCACTTCCTGGTTTTCCAATGTTTCTCTAACTGATGTCAACTCGTGATCAAGCCTGTAATTACTTTATGAATGGGAAAATTTTTTATGAAGTATTTATTTGGATGGCTTCAAAGTTCTTGCTAGTCTTTGACAGTGAGTTTTGTTTCATAATCATATCTAGGCTTCAGATTTCAAAGTTAAACACTGAAAAAATTGCGTCCTCATGATTTTATGCTGCTATTTGCAGCTTATCGCATCAGAAATGTTTCGTTTTTACTTGTATTCGAATGTCGCTCATTGAAACTGGGGGGTATTTAGGCAATGCCATATCATCATTCATGAAGTCTCTAACCCTGAGAGGAGTGTTGCTAAATGATATGCTTTTTTAGTATTCAATATTCCTATTTGTATGAACTCTGTTCATTTATACGAACAACTATCTATTTAAAGAGATTTAGTAAACGAAGCTTTGGCAAAATCATACTTTAGTGTGTCTAAATAAACCTCTTTAAGCAAAGTATTGATTTTAGGACAATATTTAAAGCGAACAGGTGTTTTCAGTAATTCCTCTGGTTTTGCAGTTATAAATCCATTAATGTCATATAGAAATACCAAGTAAAGATAAATCAGAATTTTACCACAAACTGTGTTATACAAAAATACATGGTGAAATAAATACTCTGTTGATTCCCGTTGTCTTTTAAGTACATTTGAAATGCATGGTAGATGAAAATACTAGATAAAATGACACTCAACAGTTGAGTGAGGTGCTTGTAATTCAAAAATCCCCGTAATCAGAACCAGAGAACTTTTCTGGACGGACAGTTGTTTTCAATAACTCCTTCGGGCTCTACATCAATAAATTCATGAATGTTAGAACACAAATAGCTAGCAAAAATTTTTATTCCTTCGCGTTTCCAGTGGGACATTGGGCTTAAGCTTTGAAATTTCAGTAGCAGTGGTTTTATTTTCACTGGGTGGGGTTGCTAGCCTTACGCTCAACTTTTCCTCATTAGTGGGTTTGCCACCAACTAATTGAGATTTAAGAGTGTGTCAACCGGGGACCGATCCTCGGACCACATGAATGGTTGGCACCATCAACGCGCAATTGATGACAACTTAGTGTAAGGTAGACGAAGTTGAAATCAATAGGAAAGACAAAGGAAGTGGTTAGAGTGTAGTATTGTGTTAGAAGACATGAGATAATTGCGCCCACGATGACCTTATAGTAGGCCAAGGTGAACATAAAGGATATGTGTACTTTTTTGCACTCAGAAATTAGATCTATTCTTATTAATTCCAACAACTTTGGCTGTAACCAGTAATCGCGTATCTTACGTAGAGATTGTTTGTCACTCGCTATACGTGCGTAAATCCATCTTCTGTTTTATGTGGTGTTCATTACTCACTGAATACCATTAGGTGACACTGCTTATTGATTCAGTTACGTCTTTTCTAAGTCAAACTCGTACATGTTTACCAGTGCCTATATAGGTAACTCCATGGGAAAAGTTAGATTTGCAATTAACAGTGTTCTCTGAACTGGTTGGTTTAGTTGCGAAGCTTTCGTCGTCCTTCTGGACAACATCTTCAGCGCCATATTTAGCACAAAGTGAAATGATTTAAATTTCTTCATGCGTGATGTAATTGCGTCTCCTGGTAACTATCTTTACACATGTATTGACCATTTTCTTTGACTTGGATTTTAAACTTTTTGGTCACCTGATTTACTTTCTATTAGTTGGTATATTTCATCTATATTAACGTGTTTGTTAATTGCATTCTCGTTTGAGTACCAGGCTTCTAGGAATTCTCTAGCACTTTTCGTGTTTCCTCTGTCTAAGATTTTAACATTATCCCAATCAAACTGATGACCATAATTGTCTATATGTAGTGATACTAAAGAATACATATCATGTCTTTTCACGGCTGATTTGTGTTCTTGGATTCTGATTCGATGTAATGCTTGTTGCAGTTCGTACAATTTATTTTGTAAGTGGTAGTAATCTTATCTCCTCTTTGTGTTGGATCTTTTGGTTTGCATAATATCGAGTTAAGCGATTTTACTGGTTTGTGTGCTTTATCTATATCTAACGGTTTCAGTATTCTAGCTGTTATTTCAGAGATATTCCTCATGTATGGTAGAATGAATTTTCTTGTGGTCTTTGATGATGGTTTCTTGTTGGTGTTTTGATGCGACTTTAAACACTTTTTGATGAAATTTTGTGGATAACCATTCTTTTTGAAGACCGTTTGTAGGTACTTTTCTTCCATTCTTTTCAACTCCGGAGTGCTACACGGTGTCTGAACTCATTGCACATTAAACAAGTTACCTTTCTCTGACATGACTTAGAGATACGTCCCGGTTATAATGAGCAGTATCATTTTCTAAGTTAGACTAGTTTCTCTACATGTATTCACCGAGGTGACTAAAGATGAGCTGTTTTTGTGAATAGTTTATCTCTCTTATCCTGTTGCGTAGTCTTCCCCAAAAGCCCTCGGTTGAATTACTATGGTTTCCAGTAAGAGGATGGACGACTACTTATCGTAACCCTAACGCTTAACTTAACACTAATTACAACCCTTATCTTAACCGTAAACCTAACCCTGATGCTTATTATTATTAATAATTTACAGATTCCTTAGGTACTTTTTATAAAAAGAAAATATAATCGAGGGAGATTGGGTGTGAATCAGCAATAAGTATTGGGGATATATGAGACCAACCTCCAGAAAGGATATATTGAGGCGATCCTTAATCGCACTGCAGGTGTATTATTGCCTATTATCCAGCGCTTAGTGCAGCCCGGGACGACTATTCATACAGATGAATGGAGTAATTACAGTCACTTATCGAATGTGGGCTATATTTTTTATCAAGTGGTCAACCAAAACAAATGGTTTTCTCAATCCTTTCGATGGAACTCACACTAATTCCATCGAAAATTTCTGGACACCTAAACAACGAATCAGATTTGTGAATGGATCAAGAAATGCAATGATATACAGCTTTCTCAGATTCAGATGATAAGGATAGAAGGCTCTTGTGGCCTGTGTTAATCCTTGCGAAATATATCTCTGCAGAGATCTAACTTCTCTTTGAAAGCGTTCACCGATGGAGCTGATACTACTGAATCAGGTAAGGAGTTTCAGTCGTTGACCACTCTGTGAGAGAATCTAAATTCTGCACGTATTTTGATCGTCCTCGGTTTGAGCACCTTTTTGCGGTGACCCCGTAAATGTATCCTAGAAGGGGAGAAAAGTTTAGAAAGGTCAGTTCCTAAATCACACTTAAGTATACGGGTTATGAGCTAGACTATGAAACGAACATATCGTGTCAATACAATGCTATCCGCTAATAGAAACCTGCACGTAAGAAGTCGAATTTAAACTGAACCGAACACAGAACAAACCACGGAAGTCCTTCAAATACCCATAGTGGAAAGCTTACAGAACCTATACAGTGATCAGTCCCTATACCTCATTTACAGCTATTAACACCAAGAATGAATAGTAATTATGTCACATAAGTCAAGAGATATAGGTCAGTAAAGTATTCACCTTCGGTAAGTTTTATTTAAAGCTATACAGCTAGTCAGTATTCCTAAAAGGTTACGCAAAATACTAATAGTGGCCAATGATTATTATAAGTTACACAACACATACAAACATCAAGAATCCTCGAAATTGGATTAGGCAGTGTTGTCTGGACGAAATACGTCAAGTGGTGATTAACGTCCACAAATGTTTATCATCAAAACTATACGCACTAAGAAACAGGATTATTGTGGAAGACAGCTAGCATAATTCTTATATTCAAAAATATGTTGCAAATCTGCAGTGAACTAAAGTAGTTACTCTGAGGAATTTCACGAAGGTCGACTGTAGACATACATTTTGGTAAGTTATTAAAATATACATCAAAATAGTAAAATAACGAAATAATTCACTAGCTTGTAGAAATACTCAAGGAATAATAATGGTGGGGATGCTTTCAGTTCCATGAGTGACACTGAAATTGCCTGACATATGAGACTCCTCAACGAAGTGATATCAAGCTTACAAGTTCCTCAAGTTAATTAAGGTGGTCGGGACTAAGGTTGAACTTGATGGGACCGAGAAGATATCTGAGTCTCACGAACCGTCACTTACGGCTTCACATTCCATCCAGTATAACCTCTTTCCATTCCTGTCGCCTCAGATGTCTCATCTTTAGAACGTCGGACTCGGTCGACAAACCTACGATCTGCGAAGTATCGCCCAGGAGGGTTCGAATTAATACCTGACTGTATGTTTGAGTTGCATGAATGGCTTAGTCTACCTCACGAATCAACAGAAACTGTCGGCGACAAGGCTCAAAATCATTCTCACTCCATCATCTCCGAAATACCCCATTCCTCTCTGTATTGCGTGAAAAATATCTGCAAATCTACTGACAAGTATCGCCTCTCCACACCTACGAGTCACCCGACTGACTGGACATAATGCTGATTTATCTAGTCTATTTCATCTCCTCGGCTATTACAATTCACATTTCCTCACTAGTGAGCAAAAACAAAGGAATACTCCACGAAATTACTGTCTAGCGATTGAGTAACATACTTCTAGGGTCAACGACCATTACTCCTAAAGGGTTAGACACTAGGAACAGACTGCTTGGGGCAATCGCATGATTGAACACAAAAGTGACCTCTCTCAGCCCATTCTCGGCGGTCACGTACTCGAAGGCATCCAGACAAGTCATACACACCTGTAGTCGTGCAAATAATTGGATAGCTTTGGTTAAATGTTTGCCGTTGAGTGCAGACACCTGTCAGAAAATCTTATCCCGTGCACCGAGTTAGTCGCGCCAGTCATAGTAAGGACCTGTCAGCGAAGCTTGATTGTGTAATCCCATAATTGAAGATCAAACATTCGAATAGTCCCACGTATAATCACTAACCTTAAGCTCTCCAACAACTCCCTAGGGCCTTGGACAAGCATAGATGCTTACAGAAAAATAGTTAATAATAATAGTAATAATCACTTTATTCCACAACAATAACATAGACTTGTGGTCCACATCTCCTAACCACAATCCGAATAAGTCTACCAGGCACAAACAGGTGGTACCACGTTGTCGACATATCTACGAGGCTCACACCACTGACAACAACCAAAGCAAGAGACGCTCTCCTCCATACGCGAACTGCCTTCGGATAAGTACTTAGTAGCGGGCTCAACATTTTCCTAACCAAATTCCCGGTCGACGACGAAGAGGATCCTCTCAAGATATCATTCATATCAAACTGCAATGGACAGAGTAAAATACCAACCCAGACACAAACTTATTCACAAATCAGTAAGTTTTATTCAGCGAAATGCTTTAAGCCGTACAGCACCACTCTCATTTGCACATAATGCAGTTCGTCGTAGTAGGAATTTCCTGTCATGGACTAACATATAGTTGTCACGAAGACTGATTGAAGCGTACCATTGAGCTCCGAACCCGTGATAGCATCTTCTTAGCGAAGGCGATCTGACCTGTGCCCGCCTTTTCAACCATCTGCAACAGAAAGCAAACTTTTAGTAGTGCGAACACCTAAAGGGCAAACTCAGGGAAAATGTAGTCACCAGTGATTCAGACGGTAACTCCAATACTCATCACAATCTACACTTACCTTAGAGTATGTTGTGGTGACAATCGGTTGTAATGATGCGAACGACCGGGCGTTGCATAGAAAAACGAAGTTTGCACACCACAGGTATTCACGTGCAACCGGACCAACTGATAGTTAAATAGCATCAGGCAGTCGACGTCTCCACAAGTCACATCTGTTTGAAAAGAGAAGCAGTCGGTTAGTAATACACACAAGATGAAGATCTAACGGTCAGTTAAAATGTTGTCACCATTATGTCAGACGGTAACTCCAAAAATCATCACATGGAAATCAACTTACCGTATGATTCGTCTTCTTGTGGAACTCAGCAACCTTTCTCCTACTTCGATTTTAAGCTGGCGAGGTAGAGCGACTCTTGCGTTGAAAGACTTAAAGAAGTCATTTGCTGTTGCGCCTATAGACAATGTTACAGAAGTTCATGTTTTTCTGACACCTGCAATGAAAACCCACTGCTTGTTATCAGCTCTCATAATCTATATCATCTTACAAAAGACCTGCTGCTGACTGTCCCAACTGCATGCAAGTGTCCTACAGCGCATATATGCCCTGTAACACAACTGCACGCACTCAGGTTGAAAAATGAATGGTATGATGCCAACCTGGCCAACACTCACGGACCTGTGTAGTCTGATTTTTGACTTTTCCTCCAGCGAGCTTGAGCAGATTAGCATCACACCACTCATCTCTACCAACAGGCAACAATAAGCCCTCTGTACGATCATCAGTCGTCTGTCATCACTACTCACCTGACCACGTACCATGCTGATTGACTACATCGACCAACATGCGCGCACACTATGTAAACAACGTAAACAAACAAGTGCGACTTCAGTATTGAATACCTGGACTTCGTTTAAGCATCCATGTTGTGAAGCCAAGGCTGGAATCATTCAGAAACTTCTTGTTCTTTCGCCGTCTTAATAGCCTCCTTATTTCACTAGTAAATAATAATATATATCCAAGGTGGCTTGTGCGATGGCTTTCGACTGGTGTACTAAGGTATAAAAGGTGAAGTGACACAATCTAGTGTATTCCTAAATCCTACCAAAGCTTCGTCGACAGTCCGACTTGTATCTACTGACCAGTCAACTGCAGTTGCTGCTTTCCGGATTGCTTGTATATCCACTTCCCAAATGTTTGGACGAGCAGATTTTGACCTGTGTATGAGAGAATGAATCTTAAACGTAAAACCAGTGACTATGTGGTAACTGCTGCCAAGCGGCGGAAGGCACCTAATGTCACCAACGTCCCCCTTCTGGCGTGTTAATACCAAGTCTAGAGTAGATGGATCATGTTCCGGGTGGTGCCGTGTTGGCGCATGCATATGTTGCACGAGTGCACATTCAAGCACTGTCAATGTGAACTCCCTATTGAAACAGGTATACAAACTAGTGGAGTTTAATTCTCCCCAATTAATATGTGGAGCACTAAAGTTGCCGACAACCAGACACCTACTTCTACTATTCCATGCCCTCAAGTGATTTAGAACGAAGTCATCAGCTTGGATAGCAGGAATTCTGTAAATAACTCTGATCGTTAAAGTGCCTTTTTCAAGTTAATGACGCAACTTGTGGCTTCACTGGTGCCGCTGTCATGAGCTTCTGACAACGTTGACCTAATTCCTATGTCATCCTGGATGTATACAGTAACTTTCCGACTACATGCTCTGTCTGCTCGAATGCAGATGTACCCAGGTATGAGTGGAGTTAAGTCTACACCCACTAACAACCATGTCTCAGTGATAGCAATCACATCAAGTTGTAATCTTTCGGATAATTCTCCTAATTCGGCGAGCTTACTCCTAAGACTACATGCGTTCGTATAGCACACCGAAACACCTGCGTGTCCATCTGGCTTATAAAGAGAGGTCTCGGCAGCATTTGTTTCCGAGACCTCACCACCCGAAAACCCAATAGCTTGAGGTCTTTTTCACCCTTCTCTAGCCTGGCCTTTAGTTCAGCCACGGCTTCTCTTCTTTTGATTCTGTCTTCTTAAGGCCAATCAGGCCATATTTTTAAACTTAGATCGTTGATTTTGAACGCGTGGTTGAGGATGGTGCTTCTCTCAATGAGTTTATCTACAGGACTTGGTTCAGCATGAGTATCAAGACTCCTACGAGAAATTGGCAGGTTTCTTTGCAACATATACAAGAACGTTGTCCTTTGTAACTATTTTTGGCCAAGTTAAACCTTAGACACCAGTAACTACCAATCAGCGAATGACGTCGAATTATCCAATGAGATTCGCGAACGTAGTTCAATGTTGTATAGCTCTTGATTCATTTCAAATGCGTGTCCTTACTAGGTTGCGTTTGCAATTCGAGGAGGATGGTGTCTTTCAGTATTGCCTGGACTTAGGCTTGCTTCGAAAGGAGAGAAGTTGTTGGTGTGGTGGTGTAATGACTCTAAAGAGCTATACCAGGTCAACTGATGGATTTGTCCATCGTTGTGGAATATGCTGGTAGCGAGTTAGTATTAGAGAGGGTAAGCTGCTAATTTTAATATTTCGTAGGAACTTTTTTTGCTAGGTCGCATCTCTCCCTAACCCCGATTTTGTACATCTGCAACTAATGGGTATTGAAACAGCCGGTGAGAGCCGCTGCTGCCGAGACAGAGAACAGCCTCGTCTCAACAGTTCAGTGGTACCAGCACTGTAAAGATATCGCCTCATGGAGAATGGAGAGAATTACTTCTCTGTTAGGCGGGGACGACGTAGTAGTGCATGTGGATGAGACAGTGTTGGTGAAGAAGAAATATAACCGTGGTTGTCAGAGAGCGAATGACATTTGGGTCATAGGTTTATACGACGCGTCCCTCCGAAAAGGATTTGTTGAAACAATAGCAGACAGGAAGGCGACTACTCTGATACCTATTGTAATGCGACTTGTGAAACGTGGATCAATTGTACATACCGACGAGTGGAAAAGGTACAATTCATTGTCATCCCTGAGATACATTCACCACAGAGTGAACCACTGCAGTGATTTCGTGGATCCAGTTACAGGGACTCATACAAATTCCACTGAAGGATTTTGGGGTCGATTGAAAAATAGGATACGGGCTATAAATGGATCTCATTTATAGTCATTTAGATGAATATATGTATAGAATGTGGTGCGACTTCTCTACTGACAGTCCCATGCTGAATTGGGAAATGTTTCTGTCCCATGATCGGGAAAGATACCCATTGTAACCGTTTTATCATATTTTATGCATTTTTCTGTAAATATACTCCTCCACTTATCATAAACGCCCCTTTCATTTGATTGGTCCGTTCAAGGTTGTTTGCTGATTGGTTGTTACTGGTGTCGAAAGTTTAACTTTGCCCTACTTTTTAACATTGCATTACTTATATATAAACGATTCATTACAATTATGCGCCGTTTTTTGAGCCTTCTGATTGGTTGAAGTTGTCCTTGTCAAGCTCATTTGTCCGTTCGCTTGGTAGTTTCCGTTTAGGCTGCTATTCTTTAGAGTTGCCTGACCATTATCATAACCCTAATTCCAACTTTACTGAGCTACTAACACATTGTCGAAACAGTACTTCCTTGCTTCCTGACCGGTGAATAGCGTTGACATTCCAACTGTGATAACGACAGGTGCCGTCAGCCAACGACTAGAATGCGTTGAAGGTCACTGGAGCGTTTGCACTCCTGGGACGCTATTGTTGAACCTTGCCGAAATGACGTTAGAATAGTCAGATGTTACGTTTATATTTGGTGATTCTAGACTATAGCAGCCCAAAACGAAACTGCCTCTAGTGGCCAGTCGAATGCTTGAGAAGTAGGAGTGTGTAATCTGAAATTAACGTCTATGTAAAGGGAATGAGGATAAGAGCTATCGCGATGTATTTTTACGCGTTGTATGGGTTATCGTGTTCATGCATATAGGGGCGTTATGAGCGTTTATTTTTGCGAAATTAGGGTCTAATTAAGTGGATTTTGGCTTCTGTGGCCGAAAAATAACGACATTTTCCGTACTGTTTTCGTATTAATGTGTAATAGTGTCTTGATATCCCCGACGAAGTATTGCTAAGAAAGGCATGCATTTAAAGAAGATATGCATATAGATGACTATTGTTTTCGTTCGACAGCCTTAAAGCTTTTTTATTTGCGAGCTGTTTCAGATTTTCAGGTTGTAAAGTGACTACAGGGAATGAATGGGTGGTGTCATAGCAGTTATTCTATAAGAATCAGGTAATTGAAAGAAAATAAGCCCACAGACATAAGTTAGATGTATGTTCTGAGGAGGATAAGCATTTTTATTTTCATCCATGGTTAAAGAGATCTTCCATAACACATCGAAGAAATCATACGATGAATGAAACAAGCGACTGAATTTCTTAGTGATTATGTCCATTTTGATGAAGTTCCTGGTTAAAACTGCTCAGAAGAAGATGTGTTAGCAACTGAGTTTACATTGTCACATGGAATTTCGGAACACCGTAACCGCTCAGTGCATTAAATTGTATCAACTTATCTTGATATCAGTGTGCACTGGGACAAGAATAATATTATGGATGGTCTATCTAAAATGTAACAGTGTTTGCAGTTAGTATTACCTTTCTGTCGAATAGAAGCTAACAGCTGCACCCTACCACTAGTACACCTGTTGCGTAGGTTACACCAGTCCTAATAATCATTCATTTTCAGATCAATAAGATATTTAAGGCTATTTCATGAATTACCTGTGGCCATGAAGGATACGGAAGCTGAACTTATGATTTATTTATTTTAAACCATTTATTATTAAACAGCTTATCTAGAGGGACTTTGTGGCGTTCAAGTTACAATGCTTGAGCATATGCAGTAACTGTATGCTATTGTGCGTGAAGGGCAGTTGATGAAGATAAAGAGGAAATCAAGCTTCCTGTAAAATCACCAGGAATACTGCAAATCGTTGATAAGAAACTGCGTCAAGGGAAATACTTTGAACAGATAGAAAGTGTTACTCCAGTTTCCATAATTGCTATCTTTTAGATATGTAAACCATCTTTCAAAGTTCAGAGTTACGCCAAGGCGTCAGTACTACCTTGTGGACCCTACAGAAATTCGTGAGAGTTCTTACAGGTTAATTTGTTTAAAGGGTTCTAATCTTTCAGATCTTTCAATCCACTCCTCACCGAAATATAACTCATGTACCTCATTGACGCACTATTATGCTTTGTTTTATCTTAACTACCTAGGCCTTTATTAAAGCTAAAACTTACTCTTCGTTCGAATTTGTTGCTTGCTTAAAGTCTGACTGCTTTGATGAAAAGCACCAAAACAAAGCAATATTTTCATCAAAAATCTCATGGTTTCCCTGATAAGGCCAATACAATGTCTCATTCACCGACTTTTTCTCTACCTGTGAACGTAGCCACGTACTGGTGCGTAAAATAGGCCGTCAACGCTAGCAATTTATAAGCTCCTCACTTTGAAAGTCTTTCAATGTGTTCGCAGCTTCTTACATATGCGCTGCTTCCGCTCAAACTGATTACCTGTGATGAAATTCCATAAAAAAGCCTCATTAACAAAGCACATCATTGCCACAGCTTATTACAGTTAATTCTCAAGAAACACAGGATACTATACTATGTGAGTGAGAAATAACGAAGTAGAAAATAATGTACTTTAAACCACAACTCAAGAGATGTATTAGGACTCTCGAGATCGTAGTCATTGATAACTACC